TGGACTTGATTCACCTCAAAATCTCTTGGAACTGATGTATTTTGACATGTAAACTAAACTCATAATATGTTGAAAAACCAACCCTTCTCATCTATTGACCTCCAAATCAAGCCCACAGGATGCCAAGCGATCCAGTGGCTCTTCCCATCTCTTCCCACTGCCCCAGGGCTTCCAAACCACGACGTACAAATGGAGCAAGAGCTCATTCCCCAGCAAATACCTCACGACACAGGCAGCGGCTAAATGGGTGAACCTGGTGATATCCAGTGATCCCTTTTTCGGGGGCAGATGAGTTGCAATTTCTGCCTGTTCGGCTTGTACGCTTAACTTAAGATGAACTATGTGACTGCACCGAACTAGCCCACATGAATCCCACATCAGTCTGTGATCAGCCCAAGTTCCTCCAAGTTGCTGAGTCAGAAAGATCAACCTCCTGATGCGTTCCTCTGAGACTGGCCCGAAGGGGACCACATAGAGCAAGACATTGATGCCCCGATGCGCCTTAGATCCAAGCAACGAAGGGTCGGACAAGAAGCTAAATTTTAGCACAAAAACTCACGTTGGAAGTGTTGGGTCCCTAGCGTTTTAGCATGTTTTAGCCTACGGGTGGAAAACCGAACCAGCGTTTTGCATGTGTCTATGTCTTTCTTGGGGTAAAGGGGGTGGGGTGGGGTGGGGTGGGGTGGGGTGGGGTGGGCTGATAACGTTCAATTGCACTTCCTCACATACATGATGCTACGCTACTGTACGTCTTCTTGCACTTCCTCACATACATGATGCTACGCTACTGTATTTTTTTGCATTTCCTCACATACATGATGCTACGCTACTGTACGTCTTCTTGCACTTCCTCACATACATGATGCTACGCTACTGTATTTTTCTGCATTTCCTCACATACATGATGCTACGCTACTGTACGTCTTCTTGCACTTCCTCACATACATGATGCTACGCTACTGTACGTCTTCTTGCACTTCCTCACTCCGAAAAAGAAGGCGCAGTGGTGCACTAAGTGTGCACACGGGCACCATCGATAACGCATGGCGTTTGTTGAAGCAAGCTGTTCCCAAGTCTTTAGCTTCGAAGAAAGGACACACTTATAACCCGGCTTTGATCAAGCATTGCAGGTCCTGGCAATGGAGATGGAAAAACACTGGAACCAGCTTATTTCAAAAGACTGCCAAAGTCTTGAATGAGACTGTCCAGTCTAGATGACTGTCCTTGGCGATAGAAAAAAACGCGCGCAGAAATGTGCTAAAACCTGCATATTTCAAGAAAACTGCAAAAAAAAGCCTCATGAATGCAGAAAACATTGCAAAACGCACGAAAAAAGCCAAAACACAGTGGCACGGCGAATATCATGAACTGAATTGTTTGCCAAAACCATGCGTTTCGCATCCAATGTCTAGAATATGAACGCCAAAAACAGACAAAACGTGGGTTCAGTTTCCCACCCGCCGGGATGTTTTAGCACAGAGCATGCAAATCAACTGGTTTCTTTGCTCGCGTGAATTCTTACAGAGAAACAGTCATAACGCTTGCATCCCCACATGTTGCCGATTCTGGTGCTATCATCTTATCGTTGTTGGTTGCATCCCCATTTTTCTGACTGTCTCCCCATGTTTACTGCGAAAATCACCAGTTGTAAGGTAAATCTCGATGCGTGTGGGCTTGTTGGCTCAATCCTCGTGTCTGTTGAATACCTAAAATCTCCAGTGTTTGTTCGTTCAAAGCCAGTTAAAATCCCAGTTTGCTGGGTTTAATCTCCATGTTTGTTGCTTAAGTACCATTTCTTCCTGGCTTCGTCTCCGCCAATCATCCAGTCCCCGGCACCCAGAGGAGCAAATCAGCCAGGGCTTCTCGCGCTGCCTGCGCGACTGCCTGGGGCAAGAATAGCCACAGACTGTGGATTCATTGTCAGAAACATGGTTTTAACCATCAAAAAATCCGTGCATGAGTATATAACTTGTGCTTGATAACCATCTGGAAGAATAGCCAAAGAATGGCATCCAATCTCATCCCCAGCTGGATGTTATGGGAGAGCCCCTGGGGATTCATGCCCAACAAGATGGGTGCACGAAACCTAGATGGGGTTAGAAAGGCAACCGTTTTTTTGGGGGTGGTATGAATGGGATATGTTTCACCAAGGATCAATATATGGGTGTGTCCGGAAAGAGGTGCACACCGCAAATTTATGGCCATAAAACCCATGGAAAATATATCATGACATAACCTTAAAATGAAGCTATCATCAACCTCAACGGATGACATGAACAAATAGATTTTTGGGGCAACAAACGACGCCCACCTCTGAATGCGGTGAACGCGAAATCTGGTCATTCACCTCCAAGTCGGCCTCGATGGGTAAATCAATACTACCCACTGGAAAAAGTGTGCAAAAAACGATGGGAACATCACCATTCTTGATGGGTAAATCAATTATTTAACATTATTTAACTATGGGCCATTGAAACAATAGCTATGTAACAAATAAATCAACTACTTAACTATGGGCCATGGCTTCAATAGCGAACTGCGACAGATTACCAGAGGGTTAAATCATGACTTCACCATGGCTGCACCTCCATATCACTTCGCCGGCGAGCGTTTCAAACATGGAGGATGTAGATAACTACCAAAATGGGAAACACAACCAGACACTCGAGTACGGTAATCAACATTTCACCCAAGACTACCAGTAGTAGTGAGATGTAGGCTAAACTAACACTTCGATGTGGAAAGTCAACCCTTTGTAGACGATTTTGCTCAGCTTTCCCCATGGGGTCAAGTCATCGGCTACCCGACAATTGGTTGATCCATATGATAAATATGTAAAATTGATCTACAATTATCATATTTAATGACATGATATATTTCTCATCTTGATCATATCATATTGAATATCGTTGATCTACAAAAAAAAAATGAGCCAAATATGTTTGTATCATGTCATAGTCTGGAAGAAATCCTACACCCGGGATGGTTGAAACCCTATATATGGAGGTTTCCTAAAATAGGGGTACCCCTAAATCATCCATTTTATTTTAGGATTTTCCATGAAATAAACATAAAAATAAACCATTCATAAATTGGGGTATCCCCACCTCAAAAAAAACCTCCAAAGAATGGGATTTGTTTACCACCGTTGCGCAACGGGGGGATTTCCACACTACAATCCACTGGGATTCTGTGCTAGTTTCGCCAGGTTCATTTTCAGGATGCTGATGGCACCGTCCACAGATTCCCAGTGATTCACCTCGGCAACAAAAACGGGATTTACTGAAAACTTCATGGGGAGATTTCATGGGAGTTCATGGAATAGTAATATATTAATGAGATTGAATGGGGGTTAATGGGATTTCATGCAATTTACTGGAAATTTTATGGGATTTCATGCAATTTACTGGACATTTTATGGGATTTCATAGAATTTTAATGGGATTTAATGGGATTTCATAGAATCTTAATGGGATTTAATGGGATTTAATGGGACTTAAGATCTCATGGCAAAAGTTCGATGATATACTAAAACTATGACACTAGTTTCAACATCAAAAACAAAATCACCAAAAAACAACCAGACAGGAAGAATCACCGGAAAAGATAAAAAATAAAATAAATCAAGACCTTGTTTTTCTCCGTTTTTGTTTTGTTTTTTGCGTTTTTGTTTTTTGTTGTGTGCTTTTATTTTGCGTTTTTTCTTGATTTTGGTGTTCTAATTTGTTATTTTTTCTGTCTGCTCTGGTTTTGTGTTAAAACCCTATATTCTCTGTGCTGTTGGACTCATAATACTAGAAACAGTGACTTTCCATACTTTTGATAAATTACCAGATGGTAGGGGATATCGTTTGCTTTAATTGATATATACAGTACAGTATATATATATATGTATATGTATATATATATATGTATATATATATATATATGTATATATATATATGTATATATATATATATGTTGGGTATAGAACGAGATATCATATGGGATATGTTTCACAAACCATATGATATATGGCTGTGTTCGAATTTTTAGGGGAAAAAACCTAGTCCATCCATTGCTTCATCACCATTGTCCATATCATTTGATGGCAATAAAAATCCTCATGTTAAGAAAAACTCATATGTGCCATGGTCAAATAGATGCATATGGTCTGCGATCATCCCACCATCAGGGATTCCAAACATAGTGGCTTTTGTGAATCCTTATGCATTTTTCTCAGCATCTTCCAATCTGGGTATCTAATACAACTTTTCCCACAGCTCCGGAATCACTCTCAACCCCTGGAAATATTTTATGGACCCGAACGCGGCCCCCCTTTTATTTGGGCTCCAAGTGAAAAAGGAATAGTGAAAAATGCATTGAGGTGTAGGAAAACAATCAAAAACTCATACGTCTGCAACTTTTTAAGTGACTGAACTTCGCTTCCCGACTAAATCTGTTCTATTGTATGCCTTTCCATGTCTCAGTGCGATTTCAAACTTCCAGAACGAACCTTGTCGTTGGCAAAACATCCGTTGGTGAACACCTCTTGTCGGGCTTCTATTTACAAAGTAATTGCATATTCCAGAATGGCTGATACTCCTATGGCTTACCCTCTGGTAATTTAACGTAGCTATTGAAAATGGCCATTTATAGTGAGTTTTCCCATTAATAATGGTGATTTTCCATAGTTATGTTAGTTTACCAGAGGGTAATCCCTTTGTTTGCCAAGACCAATGTGGTAAACCCAACTCAAAATGAAGCTCTAGAGTTTATAGAGGCTATGGGTACTGTTACTATTAGTGACCTCAGCCAAATGGTAAGTCATTGGGTATTTTTTGGCTTGTGGGTGTGTCACTTTACATCCAGCAGTTATATAGTCACATTGGAAGAGAACGTGAGGACCTGAATGTGGAGCATGAACTTGGATATTAACAACAAGTGTGCGTGACTCTGTAAATCTACATGTATCTGTATACGTTTATCCATACATTTATGTATACGTTTATGTATACGTTTACAGTATTGTATACGTTGATAATCGTTGATTTGTATACGTTGATATGTATTACCCTCTGGTAATTTAACATAGCGAACTGGAAAATCACCATTTTAGTAGGTAAATCATCTATTTCTATGGTCCATATTCCATAGCAAACTCTTAGTTTACTGGAGGCTATGTCTACGGGCCATCCCAGAGGTGTTTTGTTCCCCTCCGATCATCCCAAAATGGGAGGGGAACAGCATCGGTCATCGTTGCGATGGAGCATCCCCTATGAATGAAACATCCATTGATGTGTTAAATCCCATCATTAACAATAAGTTTAGCTCATGAAACCCATAATACTTCACATATACCACATATACATTTGTGAAGTTGAATGATTTTCCCAGCTATTTTTGAAACATCCATCCAGTTCGGGGACTTTCGGGCCATGAAAAATCCCAAATGATAGCCCAATTGTATCCCTATTTCATCCTGGATTTCATCCGTCCATGGTGGTTGCTTAAACCTCCATTTCATCAATCTCCGTCTCCAACAAAAAAAACGATAAATGGATGTCATGTCCACAATAGCTGAATTTCAGGAAAATATCCCCAAAAAAAAAACTGTGTTTTTTGCTAAGCTGTTCCACTTTTTATGGTTTTTTCCTCCAGAAATCTCCAGGTTAAAGCGGCTAAACGCTGGCTTTCGAAGCTGTCCTGAAGCAAACCCCAGCCGGATGGTGGTATTTGATATGATTCTAGTGATTATAGCTGTATTAAACCACCAGAAGATATCAAATATCATCAGAATTAAATATCTATCCATTTTCATCTATGTTAAAATTTTAACATCTCCCTAATGTCAACCGCGGATGAGACTAAACCATGGTTTATTAATTAGGGGGGTACTCCTCCAATAGTCATGAGTCATAATCTAATACTTAAATGGTACCCTCCCAATTAAACAGCCGTTTGGGGTTTATTAATCCAGGGTTGACATTATAGTGATTATAGCTGTATTAAACCACCAGAAGATATCAGATATCCCAATTTTATAATAGCTATTGGGAAATATTGACTAACAATAGCTGTATTTTATGGGATATCTCATGGGATTTAACCACAATATGAGATGGATTTTATGGGGTTCCTGAAATGGTTGATTTAGTTTATGGAAAATCCGAAAATAACATGGATGATAACTGGAGGTACCCCCGTGACAAAACGGAAACCTCCAAATCTCTAGTGGCAGATTTGTGTAGGCTTGTAACTTCTGCTGGTTTGATCACTGGGAATTCTATGGTAAAAAGATGTCTGATTTTTGTAAGATCAAAATTTAGTTGAAAAAAGATTCATGTGAATTTTCTATTGGGACAATTGGGTCCGCCGGAGTAACTCTTGCTGGAAAATGGTGTTGGGAATATTATTTGGAATCATAATTTCATCCGCAAATATGATATAAATACTAAAGCGGGGGGGTCTGGGGATATGTTATGTGAAGAGGGCAGGGATTAATCATTGATTGTGCAAATCTACTGATTACTGTATGTGTTTTTTGTTTTTTAAGTATAGAATATGAAATTGGAGCAACCCCCTCCAAAAAGGAAAAATCAACCACAAATCGAATTTGGCCGGAAATTAAATTTCATCTAAGGTGACTATACAAATTCATATGTAGCACACACACACACACATATATCCAGTAGCCATTCATAGAGGCCCATCAACCTTCACAACATCAGGCGTTCTGAGGCTCATAGGAAACTCTGAGGAATCCCTTTTCTTTCAGGAGGTATCTTTGCTGGCAACTTCCGAATAGTGGTACGTATAGGTGCCACTCCAAAAATAGGAGTAGCAAGTTCGGGACTGCAACACCCATAGTATTGGGAGTTTACATCGATTCAAACATTTTATCCATGCTTAATCCCTCCCCATCAGACAGATGGCTATAATCTATAAATCTGACCAAAAAAGATACAGATATATGTTGAAGATATCCACATGGTTGTGTTGTGACCCAATGAACAACACACTCCATGGGTCCAGCCTGGAAAAAAAAACAAAAAAACAACTTCTGCGCCCAACTCCTAGTCATGACTTACCCTGGCCTCATTTGTCATCCCAATATTCACAGAAAAGGCGTGGCGGGAATCTTTCATCTACCCATTTTGAAATTTTTGAATGCAACTGCCTGGTTTTAACCACATAAATACATCCCCAGAGCCATCAAAACATCTTAGGTCATCTATTTTGCCTCCTGCTACCATCCTCCCTCCCGTCCTTGCCAGCGATCAGGTTGCAAAGGGTGCCAGTATGGCTTCCATCCCCAACCACTATCACCGTCCTGGGAATGCCGGCAGTTCTCTGAGCTTCAAATCAGATTTGGCATCAGTTTCATCCCTAGAGGTTTCCAAAAAAAAGGGCTACCTCCAGTTGTCATCCATTCTTATTCTCAGATTTTCCATAAACTAAATCAACCCATTTCAGGAACCCCACAAAATCCATCTCATATTGTGGTTAAATCCCATGAGATATCCCATAAAATACAGCTATTGTTGGTCAATATTTACCAATAGATATTATAAAATTGGGATATCTGATATCTTCTGGTGGTTTAATACAGCTATAATCACTATAATGTCAATCCTGGATTAATAAACCCCAAACGGCTGTTTAATTGGGAGGGTACCATTTAAGTATTAGATTATGACTCATGACTATTGGAGGAGTACCACTCCAATTCATAAACCATGGTTTAGTCTCATCCGGGGTTGACATTAGATGTTAAAAAATTTTAACATAGATGAAAATGGATAGATATTTAATTCTGATGATATCTGATATCTTCTGGTGGTTTAATACTGCTATAATCACTAGAATCATATCAAATACCACCATCCAGCTGGGGTACCCTCTGGTAATTTGTTACATAACTATGGAAAGATCCACCATTTTTCATGGGAAAATCCACTATAAATGGCCATTTTCAATAGCTATGTTAGTCATAACCAGGTTGGGTAACCCCCATCGTTCCATCGCACCTCTGGGCTCCCGGAGGCAACGAACATCGCTTCACAGCGCAGTCCACCTTCTCCAGAAAGACGTCGACATTGGTCAACTGGTTGGCACCGTTTAAGCCAAACAACAAACACGGGGATATCACCTGTAAATATTCATAATATATATATGGATTATTAATGTTTTGAAACCACCAACCAGTCATTAATGGATTATTAATGTATTATCAATGGATTAATATATATATATATATGTATATGGTAAATTATGGATGATTGGTGAAAATAAACAAACTTTACAACAGTTGTAAATGTACGACAAGTTGACACTTCATATAAAATATTTCGCATATTTTTGTGAAGTTGCTCAACCGTGGGGGAGGGGCTCCCGTAATCATGAAGCATCATTTATCAGTTGTGTCCCTATCTTCAAGTGCTTACATCCCACTATTTTGCGAGTTCAAAGCGCAGCTGTTGGTTAAGTCCCCTGATGATGAAATCCCCATTTCCCCCCAATTCCTTTGTCAAAATCCAAGAAAATCGGCATGCTGGATCTGCTTGATTGCTGAATCCCTAGCTGTCTAGTTCTTGACCGCTTCAATACCGATTTTTCATTATCAAATCATGTGAAATCCTCATTTTCCACATTTTTTTCGGAGAAAAAGAAACAGAAAAAACTCCGAACAAATCCAGAAAAACGTTCCATCCATTTCCCCACCGCGGCTCTCGGGGCCCCGGCCTCCTCCAGATCTTCCACGAAGCGAATTGGCAACTCATCCTCCAGCGAGCTCTCGCAACGCGTGGTGGCGCAGCGACAGCTACAGGACCTGACGGTAGCGACACACCGATGGGATGATCAGCTTGAGTTTCTCACAACTCGCCCAACAAACAACGTTTGTTTCATCAACTTTCTTGGTGTTTGACGGATGATTTAAGGATTACAATGGGACTTTAATGGTGTTTTTATGGGATTCCAAGGGGATTTCAATCAGATGTCAATGGGATTTCAATAGTTCAACGGATTTGAATGGGACCAAAATCAGGACCAAAATCATCAAAAGCGCCATTGCAATCCCCAATTGCCATGTTAGCAGATATAGCTAATATATGCTAATATGGCAAAACAAAAGCTGCACCAATTCAAAATTGGTATGATATGAATGCAGGCATTAGAAGCAACAACGATCTATTGTCTCTCTTTTCTTGTTCCTTACGATCTTCGGGAACCAGTCATCAGTAACATTGCCATTCTTCAGGTGTTTCCCAGTTTCCCTCTGGTAAACATACAAATAACTATGGAAAATCACCATTTTGAATGGGAAAACTCACTTTTTCAATGGCCATTTTCAATAGCTATGTAACAGTCATTCCCAGAGGGTATATCCATCAATATCCATCAATATTTATCCCATCATTATTCCATGATCATCCCATCATTAAACCATATTAAACCATATTAGAACCATATTAAAACCATATTAAACCATATTAAAACCATATTAAAACCATATTAAAACCATATTAAACCATATTAAAACCATATTAAAACCATATTAAAACCATATTAAAACCATCATTACCAGAGGGTTTCCTTGTTTTCCAAACGTTAAAAAATCTCCTTTTGGGCGCCAACCCGGCGCTGGCGCCGAGGCACCATGGCCAAAGGCGGCCAAAGAGCTCCATCCCTCGACGCCGACGTCACGAAAAATGGACGGGTGTCCAAAAACCCTTGGGATTTTGGGCAAAGATCTATGGATCTATAATGATCTCTCTATATAATATATATATATATTAATATATATATATTATGATATATATATATATATTATGATATATATATATTATGATATATATATATATTTATCGATATTTCATGATGAGGATGAAAAACCACTCAGAAACTCAGCTCTGTGATTTCAACGAAATCTGAGCAACAAGAATGGGGTTCCAAGCTATTTGAGCTTTGAGCCAATAGAGACTGGGAATAACTGGCCATTTTGGCAAACCAAGTTGTATCCAGATCGCATCGGGACAAGTGGCCCCTACTAGCCAAATGGATTTATAACTAGGTGAACTATGGTTAACTATGCTTAACAAAAGTTAAGGGGGTGTATAAACCAACTTATAACTAGGGAGCACCACCTAGTACCTACGTAGATGGAACTGGATGGCTGACATATATTGGGTCCTGCAACAATCGATAAGTAGAAAGCCCGCTACTAAGATGCCGTGCTGATTACTCTTCATTAGTGATGAATTGATGATCAGCGATGAACGAAGAGCCTGATTTTTGGATGATTTTTGTGGTGATTTATTTCACTTTGATCACCACGATTGATCACCATTGAATCTCATTCAATCCCATAAGATCACCATTAAATCATCAATGGGATTAAATGGGATTTAATGGGATTTCATCGGATTTAATCCCATTGATCAAAAGCAGCACCTACAAATCACCGTCAACTGTTCGTGGGGAACTCCATGGCGCCCCACGGCTTTTTTGGCGCTGGCTGCATCTACGATGCGCCTGGCGGGGTGAACTCCGCCAGGAGTGTTTATCAGTTGGTTTACCCTCTGGTAAACTAACATAACTATGGAAAATCGCCATTTTTATTGGGAAAACTCACTATTTCTGTGGCCATTTTCAATAGTTATGTTAGTTTACCAGAGGGTATGAACCATAGTTGGCGGATTGATACAGTGTATCTACCATAAACCAGAGTGACCTTGAAGTTATTTGCACAAACTTAGCTAAGTATAGTTGGTAAGTCTTGATATATCTACCATAAACCAGAGTGACCTTGAAGTTATTTGCACAAACTTAGCTAAGTATAGTTGGTAAGTCTTGATATATCTACCATAAACCAGAGTGACCTTGAAGTTATTTGCACAAACTTAGCTAAGTATAGTTGGTAAGTCTTGATATATCTACCATAAACCACAGTGACCTTGAAGTTATTTGCACAAACTTAGCTAAGTATAGTTGGTAAGTCTTGATATATCTACCATAAACCAGAGTGACCTTGAAGTTATTTGCACAAACTTAGCTAAGTATAGTCGGTAAGTCTTGATATATCTACCATAAACCAGAGTGACCTTGAAGTTATTTGCACAAACTTAGCTAAGTATAGTTGGTAAGTCTTGATATATCTACCATAAACCAGAGTGACCTTGAAGTATTTGCACAAAACTTAGCTAAGTATAGTGGTAATCTTGATATATCCTACCATAAACCAGAGTGAACTTGAAGTTTTGAAGTATTGGCACAAACCTTACTAGCATAAGTATAGTTGGTAAGTCGTGATATATCTACCATAAACCAGAGTGACTTGAAGGTTATTTGCCACAAACTAGCTAAGTATAGTTGGTAAGTCTTGGATTATATCTTTCCATTAAACCAGAGTGACCTTGAAGTTATTTGCACAAACTTAGCTAAGTATAGTCGGTAAGTCTTGATATATCTACCATAAACCAGAGTGACCTTGAAGTTATTTGCACAAACTTAGCTAAGTATAGTTGGTAAGTCTTGATATATCTACCATAAACCAGAGTGACCTTGAAGTTATTTGCACAAACTTAGCTAAGTATAGTTGGTAAGTCTTGATATATCTACCATAAACCACAGTGACCTTGAAGTTATTTGCACAAACTTAGCTAAGTATAGTTGGTAAGTCTTGATATATCTACCATAAACCACAGTGACCTTGAAGTTATTTGCACAAACTTAGCTAAGTATAGTTGGTAAGTCTTGATATATCTACCATAAACCAGAGTGACCTTGAAGTTATTTGCACAAACTTAGCTAAGTATAGTTGGTAAGTCTTGATATATCTACCATAAACCAGAGTGACCTTGAAGTTATTTGCACAAACTTAGCGATTCTGAACTGGGGCACCACCTTGTAGGCCATTGTAGGCCCCATTGTAGGCCCCATGGTTTCCAAACTTTCTGGGGCTCATGGTATCCCGTGGTATCCCATCCCCTAGAAATTTGTGTCAAAAACCCATTGGAACAAAATCCCATGGCGCATTTTAATCGTAAGCAGCCTATTGGATGATTATCTATTGGATGATTAACCATTGGATGATTTAACAAAACCTATTGGATGATGATCTAGCAGCCTGAAAAAAGTAACAGGCATGATTGGTGCATTCTAACGGCTTATAGCCTCAGAGACTTTCCCTGATTGGTTTGTCGTTTCCTTGATTCTTATGAACCCCAATATTGGGCAGTATGACCCCCCTCCAACAATCAAGCACCTGGTTACCTGGTTTCGTTTGAAACTGCTCAAATAGGCTGCTGCGTGAACCTCATGGCCGCGCCTAGCAGTATGACCACAGCCATGGCAGGAGCCTCGAACCTATCTGCGATACGAAATACGAAACGATGGATGTATGGTAAGTGGTTGTCTGTCTCAGCATATATTTGCATTTTCATGGACATACATGTATATAGATGGTAAACCAGATGTATCTTTGGAAGATAAATCGACTGCTGGGCTGGAGGTGCGCATTGGCCATTTCCAGTTCAAAAACAAATTATTGAAATACAAGTTGGGACTTGGTTGATTAAGCTCAGCTTCGCCTCACCTGATTCACAGATTGTTTTCCAGCTATGGTCGGGCAGTACTGCTCAGCAGGGGTTGCCCTTGAGCCAGCCAGTGAGGGTCGCAGTGGCTGTGATCAACCAATGACCCCCATAAACGTTTCTGGTGACCCCAACATGATAGAACGGTAATTTATCAATAACCGAGCAGGAATTTACTGTACTTTATCTTTTTGGGAGTTGCTGTATGGATCTGTATGGTTGTATACATGGGAGATATAAACTAAGCCCATTATCTATGTAGGACTGTAGATAGGGAGATATGAACACAGCACTCACAGCATGGCTTCACCTGGAAAACATGTTGGAAACCCGATGCTATAAACCTGCCACCGGCAATGGCAATGCTGGCGATGGTTTATTGGGTTTACCGGTTTACCAGTTACACCTAAATCAACTGAAGTTCATCATCAGTTTCCCGAAGTCAACTGATCATGTTCCGACACCGGCAATTTTTCACGTCAAGGGCAGCAGCTTTCCGAGTATCTCCTGGCCGTGATGGTTGAAAGGCAAAGCATCCCACTTCCCTTCAGTGGTCCCATTAGTAAAGTTAGTAAAGCAATGTCATTAAAACCAGCCGTATGAATTGATGGTTGAAATCCCACCCATCAAAATGGTGATGACTTCGGGATGGTGGATCCAAGTGTTTTAACCACATAAGTCCTTGGACAGCTGGGTCCTGACACCTACAGTGATGGGCTGGAAGGGATGTGATGACATTCACCTGGGTTCCTAAGCCGTGGATCGCCAATAGCTGGTTGGTTTAGAATGGAAAATCCTATGAAAATGATTGAAAATGGATGATGCAGGGGTACCCCCATTGTGTGATAACATTCACCTACTTGCTGCTATCACCAAAGTTTGTATTGACTTAGCACTGGTACTTGAGTCTGCACTCTGAATGGGTCTTGGGTGGAGTGGGAATGGGGGGTATCTGACATCGAGGGTTTTTTGATGTTTTTTGTCTGCCACGAAGCATGCGTGCACGACACCCAAGTTTAAGCTAATCCAAGTACTGTGGGAGAACCAATGCCATAAACATCATAAACCTACCTACCATTTGGGGATAGTTGAAATCGCACCCATAAAAACGGTGTTTTTTTGGATGCTTTATGGCATTGGGTTTACTAACATTAGTAAACAATCCTCGGATCTTACCCCCATATGGGATGATGCAAAATTGGTTTTACCGCATTAATCCAAAAAAATGAGGGATGATCAGCAATCCATAGGGATTTAATGGGATTTATATACCATAAACATCCATCTGGGTAAATTGTAATATTTCACTAACCTGACTAACCTGAAATAAGACCATATTGGGATCATTTCCCTATAAAAACCATGATTCCAGGGCTCGGGAGAACAGGGTTCGGTCGTGATGAAATTGACCCAGATGATTGGATATTACTGTAATTTTATAGATACTATAATTATAGTATAGTATAGTATAGAATAGTAATCCCACTATGATTGGATATTACTCACAGTAACATAACTACTATATTTATGGATATTAATTTTAATCCCACTATAATTGGATATAGTATTGTTATCCCACTATGATTGGATATTACTGTAATGTTATAGATCCATAAACCATCTCCCACGTTTCCACCGCAGCACATCCTGGTGCGCATCTCCCGCAAGCGCGACTCGGCACGCTCGCTGGCGCGTACGGCCTGATTTTGAGAGATTTGTCTGGTCGACCTGGCCTAAAAATTAGCAGTTCAGTGGGACTTCGTTCAAAAAAAAAATGCAGATCTAACTTGATCTAACCAACAAAGATATGGTTTTGTCATGAAAAATTGGGATTGAACCGACAAAAATAATGATTTAAGCAACAAACATCATGGAGATTTAATCTTTATATAATCAGATTCTACTCGGAAAAAATGGGGATTGAACATGCTTAAGTGGATGGAATTGGGGTAAGTTTGGTTTGTGCACTTCTCAACAGGGTATATTTGGGATTTTTTGGGTGGCTGTAATAGGTTCGAATCTAAATTACTTGGTAGTTGAGGTGAGTTACCAAAAAATTAGCCATCAGTTGGGCTTATGGACGTTTGTGGTAGACATATCGGCAGTTGGTTGGTAAATTTGGAGGCCGCAAAGTAGGTTCACTGCGGCAATTGGGCCACCCCCCCTAGGTTGCATCGAAGAGGCAACCAAAAAAAAAGTGACGATCTGTGGCCAAAATGGTACCTACCAATTGCACAGTCCACAGGTTTATTCATCTAGAGTTTATATTATATAGATTGTTAATCAAACACACAAGGTGACGGACCTGAGTTATATAGTAATAAATCCATCTAGCAGTAGATACAATTACGCGCAAACACCCGTTTCGCCCACACCCTTCTTGTCTTGGGAAGATCAACAAAGGTATTGCGGAATATAAAAGTCCCACCCCGTTGAACTTTACATTCATTGAAGATCTTTAAATTCTCCCATCCCCATTGAACTTCTACATTCATTGAAGATCCTCAATAAGGACTGAATTCTCCCACCCCCGGTAAACTTCTATATTCATTGCAGATCTTCACTGATTATGATGATGATGATGATGATGATGATGTTGTGGAACGAACCCGCACAGGTCCCTATGCTGTGCGTTCTGATCTATAACATCAAGTTAACCATAGTGCTAAAATATTCAATTGTTACCATGTTTTCAGCTCATACGAAGAAGGCGGGCCAACAGGCGCGGGCAAGACGAGGTGTTTGGCCGTACAATTACTGTATCTACCAAAAAGCTAAGTAGCCTATAGCAACCCCCAAAAAAGATAGAACAGGTTCAGTTTACAACTATCTGAGCAGGTGTTTATATATCAAGCACCACCTTCACCCAAACAAATATCGAAAAGTAATGTACAACCACATCTCATGTCAAATGATTTAAAATGTAAGCAAGCATCTTTTTCGGTTTACCATACATAACACATACACCAACTTGGCATACGATTGAGGGCATCACAGCCACTCCCTCGTCTGGCGCCTCACACAGAGTGCCAACTGCCTGCGGAGAGAGTCCCGCCTGCATCGCAGGGGCTGTCGCTGGCCCAGCTCAAGGGCTGGTCTTGAAAGATTTCACTCAGCGTATAGTGGTTAATAATTGTTAATAGTTGTTCTAGTTAATGATTGTTGATAGTTGATTATTGTTAATAGTTGTTAATAGTATAAAATAAGTGTTGCTCTTGTCAAGTAGGGAATAAGGGAATGGGATGATTGTTAGTTGTTATAGATTCCCCCATTCCTACGTTTAGCATCAGTCACTTCGGATGGTTTCAGTGGACAGGAATAGAGATCCAGTTAGACACCCTCTGGTTATGGTTATGACTAACATAGCCATGGAAGCCATGGCCCATAGAAATAGATGAAATTCCTATTAATACCTCCATTTATAAGATTTTATAAGGGATTTTCCATGGCTATGTGAGTCATAACCAGATGGTATCTTTTGTGGATGACCAGCTGTTCTTGATAGGATCTATGGACCATTGGAAAGCTGAACCCAAGCTGTCGCTGGTTGAACCTTTGATGACCAGCTCCAGGTGGCATCAAAGTTTCCCGTTAAGGATGACTGAATTGGGATGACTTGCGATAGTTTTGAGCTTCCCCATGTTGGAAAATCCATGAAAATCCGCCAGATGATTGAAATTTTTTTTTTCCATCAATGAACCACCCGCTTCCAGCGACCTTGCCTTTCCATCTGCGGAGTACATGGCTGTTCTCCTGAGAATCCAAGGTGGCCACATGTTCCATGGATTGGGGGCTGAGGGAAAATCGAAACCGGAAACCAGAGGTTTTTACCCACCAAAAACCCACGGTTTCCTGTTGATTTTACCAGGACAAAGTTACCGGACATTGGTTGAGAACTGACAACCTCTCGTCCAAACTTGCTGCTCATTCTGCGTAATTCAATGATCATCACATGTGTCAACACTCCCTTCAGCAGGAGCATCACATCTGTTGTTTTTGGCATGCGCCTGATACGGCGCCCTTGGAAGGGTTGTCGATTTTGAGATGTACCATTTACGATCCCGTGGAAGGGTTGCAAATTTCAAAAATGAGGTTTTCCGAAATGGGGGTATAGGATTTGAAATTTTCGATTTTTTAACGTGTTGCACATGGAAGAGGCATATGTTGCATATGTTGTCGTATGATCGTCAGGGGGGTGGGGGGGGTGGGGTGAAGAGGGGCCCTAGCGTCTACTTCAAGATCAGCTAAGGCGTCTTCCCCAATGACAGCACTCTTTTACTCAGCCTGTTGCCGGTCAGTGCTATGTCTACAGGGTTACTCTATATACCTCTTGAGCCTTGAAGGGCACATATAAATGTGCTCAATACTCATGCATAGTACCTGGTAGGTATTAGGTCGAAACAAAAACATGGGGGGGGGTGGGGGGGGGATGTTAACGTTCGTGTCGAGCGCTTCCATCACGTTACGGAAGAGGCATATGTTGCATATGTTGTCGTATGATCGTCAGGGGGGGGGGGGGGATGTTAACGTTCGTGTCGAGCGCTTCCATCACGTTACGGCAGAGGCATATGTTGCATATGTTGTCGTATGATCGTCATGGGGGGTGGGGTAAATCATCTAGAACCATTATTGCTGGAACTCAACAACTTGATGGAACTTGGACACACTTAAAAAAATGGCGACCTCAATCCATGCTCCACAAAAAGAAACAACAGGTGTACCAAAAACGGTAAAGTTATGCTTACAGCTGGACTTGGCGTCACAACGCTGCCTTGTTACAGACTGTAGCATCAGCACTGCCACAGGCGCTCTGGCACCGCTAACCTCGAACAGTGGAAAAAAAATAGGATTGAATACCGCCTTGATTGATGTGATTTGGATGACTCAAAATCATAAAATTCTAATGTTTTTTTTTCCACCCGTGAAGAGAAAAATCGAGTCACCGCGCAGGCGAAATTCAAATTTTCACTCTTGAGTCACACGCCTGCCAATCGAAATGAATGTCCATGTTGTACACATTTTTTGACGACTCCTGCAAATACCAGCATTTTCTCTCTTACCCTCAAAAATGACAATTTCAAATTCGTCACCCTTACAAGGGCGCCGAGTCAACCGGTTGCCTTGTTTTTCTGCTTCATCTGAGGTTCCTATTTTTGTTGCTCGTATCTCTAGGAAATTAAGTAGCTACATATGGTTGGTTCGATCCCCCCCGTTGGCGCCAAATCCTAGTATGAAAAAAGTGTCCTTGGTGACTTCAACCCAAAAAAAAGATAAAAAATGCTTGTCGTTTGGGATCATCATCCCAGTTGGGGTTTCTATTACAAAAAAAACATATATGAGTTTATAAGTTCACCTGTCAAATGCTGCCAACAAATGTTCATAAATTAGTGCTTCACAAGATACATGGCTGTTGGTGTGAAATGTGTTTAGAACGATGCGGAAAAAATACCCTCTGGTAATTTGCTGCATCACTAAGTATGTCATCAAACTAAATCATTGTCCATGGCTATGTTCAATTACCAACAAGTCAAGTTCGGTGAATTCCTACAAGGCGGTGCCCAGCCAGTTATCTGTCGGTTTGTCCCGATAAATTGTAGACTATAGATAGTCATAAACCCTACCCTCTGGTAAACTAATATAGTTATGGAAAATAATCATGTTTACAATATATAGGTAAATCAACACATTTTTGTTCATGGCCATGTTCAATAGCTATGTAACAAATTACCAGAGGAAATGGCTTATATCAATTCCATTCAATTCCCATGTTTTTCCCATGGAATCCCAGCATTTTTTTCCTATGGAATCCCCATGAACAATAGCAAACTGTTCTTGGAGTAGCCTCTGGTAATTTTCCATGGCGATTGAACATGGCACATGGAAGTCTAGTTGATTTACCAATTGAAGATGTTGATGTTCCAGTTCGCTATGTTGCCAGAAATTAAACCAACTTAGCTAAGTATGGGGAGTGAAATCATTGTTGCCCAACTCGGCTTCGCGCCATGCCAGCTCGCCCATGTCGCCCTTCACCTGACAACAGTCGGCCCTTTGCCCGCTTAAAAATCTTAATTTGACCTGCAAAAATTGGGACACATCGCCAAATTCTTGGACTGTGCCCGAAATGTTAGTCAGATATTATATTCATTGGATCAGGTATTAATCACTAATAACCACTATTAACCACTATTAATCACTGTTAATCACTTTGCCCGAAATGTTCATATTGTGATTTCAGGAGCGAAGAGTTTTGGTTTTTTGCTCCAACAGTTGGGATTTAAGCAACAAGTTGCTGGGAGATGCGACGAAAAAAGGCGACTTTTTGCAGCGCAAAATATGGATGTGTCCCCAACAGTCAAACAGCGACTATCATTCACATCATAGTGACAATATCATAGTTATAGAATTCAATGACTATCATGTAATTATAGATGAATGTAACATGTGTATATATATATATACAAATCTACATATATATAAACACTCACTACACCCTTCTTTTACGTGCGTTGCAGACCAATTGAGTCAAAACTTAAACAAAATTCGAAACTGCAATACCGAGGGATTGTCTTTTCACGAAGGTTAACTAACCTTACAGGGGCACACACATCACCTCTTCCGCCACACCAGGAAAAAATGATGTTCCCCGTGTCTTCTGAGTCTCTCGCAACACCATAGAAAACTCAGACACTAGACACTGACAATCACTTAAAACAGTCACCGCGAAAAGTTTGGAAAACATGTGCCAACCTCCCCCTCCCTTCAACAGATTTTTGGCGCTTTGCGCTTCCTGGGAGGGGGGGCGGGCCCTTAAGCCAGAGCTGCATCGTAAATACTGGTGCATTCGTGTTTACACCCGTTAGCGTAGGTACAAACACTCACTACACCCTTCTTTTACGTGCGTTGCAGACCAATTGAGTCAAAACTTAAACAAAATTCGAAACTGCAATACCGAGGGATTGTCTTTTCACGAAGGTTAACTAACCTTACAGGGGCACACACATCACCTCTTCCGCCACACCAGGAAAAAATGATGTTCCCCGTGTCTTCTGAGTCTCTCGCAACACCGTAGAAAACTCAGACACTAGACACTGACAATCACTTAAAACAGTCACCGCGAAAAGTTTGGAAAACATGTGCCAACCTCCCCCTCCCTTCAACAGATTTTTGGCGCTTTGCGCTTCCTTCCACGTCCCCCCGCCCTGTTCTCTTGGAGAACGTGCTCAAGCGAGGGCTTTGAATTCCAGGTGTGAAAAATGTTATGAAAAGGCACTAAAAGCAGCTTAGGTATTTGGATTTCCGAGAGCATAGCTAGTCCTGAGTTCAAATAAATCCGAGCAGTCTTTAAAGCTGTCCAGCGACCTGTCACAAGGACCCGGTCTAATGACTCGCCTTTGACAAAAAGGTGGGTGGCTCCGCCACGTCTAAGTGAGTAGGGCCTGAATTCCCATCTGTCAAGTTTGAGTTTTACCAAGCACTCTGAAAACAGGTCGCGCCACGCGTGTGGCTTTAAAGTAAGAAACGTATGCCTTGGGACGCGACGTTTCCATGCCCATAGGTGCTTGAGTACATGCTGTTCAGTCAAAGTAACACTCTCAGAGGCACCTTGCCTCTTACCCGACTTGGTAAGGCCCAAATTAAGGACTGCTGGTTGATTTGGTGAACTCATGTGGATCTGCCATGCCTGCAATGCAAGCAATTCTCCGGTACGGAGGAGGGAGTAAAATCCTACTAACAAACTAAGAGCAAATGTCTCATGACCTTTGGTCACTGCCCAACCAGCCATGGCACGTAAAACGGCCTCAGTCATCGGGGGCGCACGCGCTGGCACTTCATGCGTCGACCAGGTTTTCATTAGGCGCCAGGACCCTGGAAGTTGGTGCTTTAACTTTGGGTCATGATCTTGAAGTGCTGCCATGAATGTATTTGCAGTGGCGCGTCCCTCTCCTTGCGCCCACAAATACTCTAAGTAGTCAGACACCATATTATCCATATGCTCTCTTTTTTGAGGTAGCTGGAGTTTTTCGGTGCGGAGGTAGTCAAAGAAATCTTTGAGTGAAGCCTTGTAGCGATCTTTTGTTTTGGTTTGCACAGTCAATTCTTTCAAAGTACCAAGTTTTTTGCGGATTTGCTTTCTGTTTTCCTTGCTAAGGGCTCCTGAATGTTGAGCTACTTTTTTAACCATCGCTTGCGGGTAGCCCAGCGGGATGGTCGATCCGCCGGGTTTTCCTTGGTATTGATGTAAGCCCATATTGGCTTGAGCCCTGTTGCAAGGATGTAAGCACTTATCCGCATCATGGTACGTCTCATCTTCTTTGATGAGGATCTGCCACGGGTTAGGGCGTGGAGCACTACCAGGCTGTCCACTAGGTGCACGCATCTCAGGTTTAGTTGTCGCTTTTGGGAGACTCGCCACTTCAGTGTGGTCAACACTGCCCTGGCTTCCAAAACATTGATATGTTCTGGGTCGCCCTCCCATTTCCAGCCTGCCACGGCCTTCCACCGCCATAGTTTCCCCGGGATTCCTGAACGAAGACGATGATGCTTGATAGGCACTTCCGTAGAGCTTTGCAGCAATAAGTCTTCTCCCTTCAAAGACGTCAAACCAGCCAGTTTTTCTACGAGCTTTTGACTGGGGGAAAAAGTTTGAGTCCCTTGGCTAAAGGGAGGCCGCATGAGAAGGCTCTGCAGGCGGTCGGATCTTCCTGGGGTCAACTCATCGACGATCTGCTGCACACTCATAGCATTGGTCAGCCCTAGTGGCCCAGTAAGTTGCTGTAGGAGCCACGCAATGACACCTACCGACCAAGAGTTGCCCACCAACGAGAGCCGGCAGTCTTCATGTGCCTTACTACCATGCAAACCTTTTTTGAAACATTGGAGTGTGTAGTTGGGAGGGAATCCTAAGATTGCCTCCCTTTCTTGAACACTGGGAGTCCGGAGATTCCCTTGACGATCTTGTAGACAATGACAGGCTTTATATTGATATGGTGGGAAACGATGTGCATCAGCTCGCCACCTTTCCTTTTCTTGCTCGTCACAGTCGTGAAGTCCAGCAGGTCTTCGTAGTGGTCGCGGACTTGGCCTGGAAGTGGTGAATGTAGGGAATGGCTTCTCGGACACTCGCGTCCAGCCAGCTTCTAGGAAGGCCTTTGCATCCACTTCAGCGGTCAGGTCCACTTGCCCCAAGATCGGCAACCGCCCGTCACTCCCCCAATAAATCTCCACACCCGTTTGTTCCAGAATTTCCCAACTAATCCAGTACAAACGCGGTCGGTGGGCTAAACTGATTCCAGAGGAGTCAATGAACCATGGAGCCAGCTGATACTCCTCGTTCATGGCCTCACAATCTTCACGATCCATTGAGGCTACATTTTCAGTGAGTCCGTGGACTTGTGCCCATGGGAAAAAGCGCTTGAACAATTTTGTGATTTTAGGGATGTGTAGAAAAAGCATGCTACGCTTGTCACGCAATGCGCCCTTCCTATCCGCGTTGAGCCCTGAAACCCCTTGACAAGGGGGTCCAGATCCAATGAGCACCAACCCCACACATGTAAACCTCAAGGCCCAAGAATGCACCATCTCCTCATCAATGGCTTCAATATCTTCTACTTGGATGGATTCGGGGAAATTAGCTTCCACCACTCGCTGAGCTTCCGCATTCATCTCCACCGAAATGTGTCCCGCTACCGGGGCCTTAATGACGTCCAGCGCCATTCTAAGGGCTCCTATACCATCAAACAGACCCACACTAAGGACTTGGGTGAGCTCTTGTTCCTCAGGAATACCACCTCTAACAGTGGAAGTGCTAGCTGCTAGTCCATACGGGCTCAAACCTTGACTCGCGCAAATGCCTCCACCTGTACTTGACGCGTCACTTGCAGTCACCATTGGATCAAAACCATACCTCAAGTTCATCCCCCCTAGGGGGCATAAACCAATGAACCGCGTCAGCTCAACCATCACCTCCTTCCTCAGCCAATGACGTTGTGAAGGTTTTCCATCCTCATGATCCACAATCATCCTCCAGATTTGGTTTAAACTACTTAGTAGTGGACGACAAAACATAGCGATGTACACGAAACCACCTCCAACCACTTGTAGTTCACGTTGTGAAGCCTTTCCGCGCCCTAACAACTCCAAAGCTAGCTTGATGTATTTTGCAATTTTGGAAGGTTTCGCGAAAACTACCCCTTGTGTGCCGTCCACCCAGGCACCCTGAACCTCTGCTTCCCATGCTTGTGCAACTGATTTCTTGGGGTGTCTTGGGAGTTCGCTTTGCGCGTAAAACTCCCTTACTTGTTCCACCAACTCCGATGGGCTGCCCGAAACAAGGGCCGCTGTGCAACGATCCACTTTCTGCAACTGGTCAAAATTGTCGAAGTAGACCCGAAATAAGTTTGGAAAACGGCTAAATACACGATCTCTTCTGATCTCTTGTGCAGTGAGCCCCAAACCCTTGATCGATCCAATTGCACGTTGTATTACGCACCGACGTATATGTTGGGCAATACCTACGGAGTTTAAATATCCCATTGGGAGTACTTTCCCCGCCAAAAACCACTTTTGTCCTTCTCCCCCAGGTGGAACCAGGCTCGATGGCGCCTCCTTTCCAAAGGCCATGAACTTGACCCAGTTTGGAGGAACTCTGAACAAATAGAAGAAGCATCTCAAGTCCTCGGAAGAGGTCAGTAAAACATCTTGATCATGAAGGTGAAGGGCGCTAAGTTGGGATACAGCGGGGAGAGTGCTAACGTCACCAACCAGACTCCTACTCACCTTGTTCCACGGCTTCAAATTCATGATCAATCTGCTAACTGCCACTCCGTTTTTGACTTCATCCTTACCCACGGCAAAAAGACCATTTAGAAGTGGAAGTCCCTGAATCTTGTAGATGTTTTCCTCTGCGATTACTTCACAAAGCCCCCGGGATACCAACCCTTGTGCAACTTCTTCCCAAAGTAGATCTCTGACCATCACAGACGGAGGTTTCAAACGAACTTGATCTTCGACCGGGATAATCGTATCATCAATATGAGTAATAAAGTGATAGACCCCGCCAAAGCAGAAATCCCTGATGTCCAAACAGCCAACTTCGGGGGGTAGCGAGGGTTCAATACTGGACCATTCTACCTTTTGAGCAACACGAACTTCTTCTCCGGAATAATCCAAACTTCTGTGACAGAAAAAAGAAGCAAAGTCCAAATCAGGCAGTGGTTCCCTTAACACCCTGGACTCACTCACAACCCTGTCCAATCTTTTGACCACCTCTCGGCCGATGGGAGTAAGCTGCTCCCTTGGGCTCGCATTGCCGTAGCTGTGCAAGCTGTTGAGACCGACTACAACGGCCCGGAGAAATTGCGAGGTGGGCGTTTGGCCCTGGTGAAGTGCCGCGACAGGGATTGGGAAAAGTTCTTCCTTACCTGCCTTGGACCGTGGCCTGCAACTAGGTTGTTCTAGAACCTGCAGCACATTCACCACCAAATCGCCTAAACACCCCACCGTGAGCGGCTTGTCCACTCCGCTCAAGTGCCTTTCCACGAGCTCACGCACTCGCAAGTGAAACCTCTGGGAGCTATCCTCTCGCGATCCTTTGCTCCCTTCTTCTCTTTGCATCTTGAATTCTTGCTGCAAATGGGAGTGAGGCCGACGCCACTCAGCCTCACTCCCTTGGGCACCCAGGGCAGCCTCTCGAGCATTGTCGATGAGGTCCTCAACATCCTGGGCGGTGACACTCTCCTCTCGCCCCAATGCCACTTGCCTCAAGCCACTTTCTTCTACCTTTCGCGTCTCCTCAGCTCCACAATCCTTTCTTATACCTTTCAGACTCCTTTCGTGGGAAGATCCAATCTCTGATGCTGTCTTTCTTTTGATCCTCACTTCTTCTGCCATGGTGTCTTTTGATCATCTTTTCCTCCTTGACCTCCTCGGTTTTTTCCAGCATCCCCAGACTGGTTCTTCCCACTTCCTTTGGAGTCTTTTCCTTTTCTGCTCTTCCCTTGGGAGTAGTCTCCTCCCTTGCCGCTTGGGGGCCGAGACATCAGGCCGCGCAGGCGCTCCTCTTCACGGGCTTGTCTGGCAGCGGAAATCTTTTCCTGCTCCTCCGTCATTCCCCCTTCTTCTGTTTTGACAAGCTCGTACTGTCTGCACAAGCTCCAGTGGGAGCCTTTGCACAGCGCTTCCAAGCTCTTCAACCGTTGGTTCAAGAGATCCATGCTAGAGGCTATGCAGCCTCGAGCCATCAGGTCCAGCGCTTGGCAATTGGTGAGCACCTCTTGCTGTAGCGATGCTCCCATGCCAGGCATCACTACCTGGCGGCCGTAGTGTGTGTAGACCGGTCCCAGGGTGGTCTTGTCCATGTCCCAGGCCGTGCCGGCTGCGGTCAGCAAGTTCTTTTTGATCTCTTGGATCGAACGAGCTGAAAGTGCACCTGGGCATCTCTTCCACACCGACCGCAGCTTCTTTTCTTCTTCGAAGAGTGCCGAGTCGCCCACTTCCAAGCTGCTTGAAGTTGAAGAGGATGAAGAAGTCTTTGATGCTTCACTTGAGCTGCCTCTTTCCTTCTTCTTTTTCCCTTTTCGACTCTTTTTGGCAACTTTCTTTGCCTTTTTTAGAACTCGTGCGCTTCTCTTCAAGTCTGGATCCATCCCTGTATCTTTGAAGACGTCCTCCAAAGGCCTCTGACCTGGCTCCAGCTCCTCAGCGCTCCTCTTGGGAGATTTTGCAACTCTCCCTTCTGCCTCGCCCTCTCTCTCTCTTTTTTCTCTTATCTGCTTTTCTCTCTTTCTTCTTATCCATCTCCTCTTTCTCAGCCTCCATCTTTGCCTGTTCTCTCCTCAGCACTGCTAGCTCATCTTCCCCGCGGATCAACGGCCTCACCTCCTTCAAATTGGTCATCCACGGAAGACAGGCCAGGTCAATTTCCTCAAACCTGTCGGCATGCACTAGGAGTTCATCGGTGAGTTGGTGTGTGCACTCCGCGCCACACAGAAGCACACTCATCACCTTTTCTCTCCTCCCCGTCAAGACCCGTAGGATCTCTTCATCCTTTGTCCCTGCAATCTCAAGGTCCAGAAACCATTGGGTCTCCTCACATCGCAAACCTTTCACTGTACCTGCCAGCTCTACTTTGCGTCCATAGTATATGGCTTCTGGAAGCCTCAATGGTCCCAGTCTGCCCAGGTTCCTGGGATCAACCTCCTCAAAGCGCCTGATCTTCTCTTTGGTCTCGTCTTTCTCCTCAGTCCATTGCCGGCCTCCTCTGCCGGGGCTTTGCCGCTGCAGGTCTCCTGAGACCCCCTCCAGCGTGCTTGGGAGCCATTGTATGCTCCCTTATCTCCGACTGTGTCTTTTCCTGTTGAAAATTTCTTGTTTTGCGCGCTTCACCTGTCCCTTGTTCTGAGATTGGGACCACCTAGCGTGATCACTGCGGGGTAGCTCACCCCTCCAGCCAGGTCCTTGTCGATGTTGATAGTGATGGTACTCTTGATCTCTTGGGTACCAGTAGTTGTAAGCCCTTCTATCTGGTGGGGGCCCAACTGGCTCTGGAGGTTTCTCAGAGCGAGCTTTCTTCTCTCTTCCTCCTGCTTCCCTGGATCGGCGGCGGCTTTCCGACCTCTTTCTCTTCCTATCTCTATCGCGGCTCCTCTTCTCTCCTCGGCGATCCCTTTTGGAGCTGGGAGAACGGTTTTCTCCCCTCTTTCGTTCGTGAGAGCGGTCCCTCCTCTTGATACCGCTGCTAGAGGCTCTTTCCTTAGGCTTGGGCTCGGTGACTTCCTCTACTCCTTCTGAGGCTTTAGTGGCTACTTCTTCTTTGATTTCTTTCTTCTTCTCAGTGGCTGGAGCTTGTCCTTCTGGTCCACTTAGTTGAGTCGGGGGCTGTGGCGGAGCCCCTTTTGGTGTGGACCCCGGTGGCCCTTGGGAGGCTTGCTCGCCCTCCCTTGATTCTCCAGCCGCTGGTGGCGCAGCAGCGGGAGCGGGACTCGTCCCAGGAGGTGGCCCAAGTCGTTGGAGCTCGTCCCGCAGCTCGGCCTCCCCGTTCCTCAGCAGCCCAGTTGCGTAGCCACCAAAAGAAGGATGAGCCTGGCCCAAGACGATCAGGTAAAAGACCCTATGAAGGACCTTGCAAAGTGGACAGCCGCAAATTGCGGCGTGTCCCCACATCTAGCCCTTAAGCCAGAGCTGCATCGTAAATACTGGTGCATTCGTGTTTACACCCGTTAGCGTAGGTACATATATATATATATGTATGTGTGTACTATCTATAGTTATCTGTTGTTCACAGTTGTCTATATTTTATCTGGTTGGTGGTTTCAACCATCTTGAAAAATATTCGTCAATGGGAAGGATTATCCCGTATATTATGATTATTATGGAAAATAATCCAAATGTTTGAAACCACCAACCAGTTATTAATGGATTATTAATGTATTATCAATGGATTAATATATATATATATTATATATATATATTATGGATTATGAATGGATTAATACGGATTATTGAAAATTATCTATATACGTTCCACCAGATGGGGATGGGTCAAAATTAGGTACCCCAAAATTATGGATGGTTAATACTAAACTAGACTAACATCTGTGGTCCCCTAGGTCTTCCATTTTGACCCACATCCAGATAGTTATCAAATTTCATCTCTCATGGCCCGCCTCCTGTCGTATGTCCTGGAAGAGGTGCTCCAGCGAGGCGGCGCAGCTGATGACCAGCCGCCTGCGCCTGTCGTACAGCAGGTCCAAAAACTTCACGAAGCGGCGCACCTGGTGGAGATGGCAATGGATGAGGCCTTTTTAAGATGTTTTAACCGTGAAAAATGCCATGAAAATCATGAAAAAAAAGGAGAAAATGCTACAAACTGGTGATCATTTCGACTTGTTCTTCGTCAAAAATGGTGTTTTTACCGGTGAAAAATGCTGGGATTTCATCATGAAAAATTAAGTGAAAAATGCTGGGATTTCACCATGCAGTAGGGGTGTAACATGCAACCATAAACTATAGTTTATAAACTTAGTAGAAAACTATAAACCATTAGTATAAACATGTATAAAAGTATAAACCATAACTATTATACTATGTATTAATATCGGATTCAATTAGATTAATTTCTTTTTCAGCAACCTTCGGTGGGAAGTCCCTGAATTGGTGGCTCGCCGAGGTCCCAGCAACATCGGTGTCCTCAAGTGAAGTAAACCTGGCGCTGCAATGGCAGCTAGAAACAAACGTCTGGCAATTGCATGCAATTGCGGAATATGTTTGGACCTATCTACAATTGTTGAATAATGTTGGGTATCCAATGGGTATCCAATGGGTATCCAAAATTGAAATGATTTGGATTTTTCATCCAGGTTGGATTCATGTGATCAACTTGAAATCAGCTAATCGGACCCATTTCTCCGCATCCTTAGGCTGCAGAACGTCGATTCTCTGCCACCTCCTTTGAGATAGCTACCTTCTACACATGGATTTCATATATTTCAGCACCGAGGTGTTCAAACCTCTCTCAAGCTAGCATTCCCAATGTTCTGTCCGGCACAGCCGAAATTGTGGCTCTTCAGCGAAAATCATGAAACTGAGCCTTTCATCTTAGTTTCAAGGACGAAGGTCTCTCTCAAATCACCTGGCAAATCACCGACTTCATTTGGCCAGTGCTTCCCGTCGCTGATGCAGAGCATCAAGGACTTCACTGTAGCTCCACGTCAGGTCCTCCGAAATTCCCCCAAGGTGGAAATGCTAAACGGTCCGACAGAAATGGTGGATGTAATTCATGAAAATCCAGGAAAATGCGTGGAAAATCCATGAAAATCCATGGAAACCAACTTAGCTAGATGGAAAATTCATGAAAATCCTTGCGAATGCTGGATTTTCCGGATCTGTATTGGTTTATCGCGTAGAGTGACATGCTTTAACCCAGCAAAAAAGTGTGAGTTTTTTGAGTTTTTGGCCAGAAAAAGAGGGGTGCAACTTTCATTCGCGTTCTCCTTTGAAAATGCAACGTGGAAAAATTACGATTCGCTCAAAACCGTTGATCAGCATAGTTTACCATAGTTTATCTTACCATAGTTTAAATAGACAAACAGTTTACCATAGTTTACCACTCTCTTGCTTTTCTATCTTGTGTCGGGTTGCTGTTTTTTATTGTTTTTTTACACCATTGTTCATCGGCGCGCTTAGCCCCGCCCAGTCCCTAGCATTGTACTGGTCCCCCGTGAGTTTGTCAATCTGTTCCTGAGCTCAGTCACGGATCACGGGAATGTCATGGACGAGATTGAAGGTATGTCTAGCCTTTTACCAGGAGGTATATCACCAATGAAACATGGGAATGCTGCAAATATAATCAAATATATGATGATAATGGGTCAAAACGAAAAAATGGAACATGGGGAGTATTGCCTTAATGCATATTGACATATATATATATATAATTATAAAAAATGAACAATTGGGGTGCTCAAATAAGGAAGAATAAGAATGCTAATCTTTGTCAGATTTCTGGACCCAAAAAACCGCCCATGAATCATCCATGTTTGGGGTATTCAATTTTGAGCCACTAGTAGTCCAAATATGATCCAAGATCAGGGAAACAAAACATTTGAGGCGCGACTGTAACCTGATGCAACCTGTCATACTTACTACTCACCATTGGTGTACTTGCATTGTACATCATACCAGCTGTGTTTTTGTGCAAATCATAGCAGCTGCTGTGTAAGCTCTTATCTCGCCTCGGGCCCGGCAGGGCCCGGCCCGAAAACACTAACTCTGGAAAAATCATGGCAGACCATCTTGACCATCAACGTCGCAAGCTGGGATAGTGAGCGAGAGAACACGGATATTGGAACCAAATGGGCTATTGATGCTATTGATGCTATTGATGCTATTGATTTGGACAGTGAATTCGTTGGATCATTCTCGCACCTTGGAAAAACATGTCCCAAACAGGAGTGACAGACACCTGGACATCTGGACAGATACAGCTCGCCAGTTGCTGCCTGTGGGCCTATACAAATACCGGTTATCAAAGTTACCCTCTGGTAAACTAACATAACTATGGAAAATCACCATTTTTAATGGGAAAATCCACGAACTAAATGGTCATTTTCAATAGCTATGTTAGTTTACCAGAGGGTAATGAGGGATTGCCATGATTGCCATGGCGAAATATCCAGAAATATCCCAATCTCAGGTCCCAAGTTTCGCTCAAGTGCAGCCCATCGTTCATGTGGTGCTTGATGCGCAGCAGCACTGAATCCCCCGCGGCGACAAAATCCTTCACGGAACCGGTGAAACCGCCTGCGGCTCGCAGATTGATGTGTTTTATGACATGTACCATGTGCCATTGCTTCATAACTATGTAACCTATATTACAAAGTCATATTTGCGGTTACATACGTATATATACGCAAAAAGGTTAAAATGA